TGGATGAAAATGATAAGATCTAGAAATACTCTATTGAATTTAGCTAGTATTGCTTACACCTGTTACTTTGCTGTAAAATGGCACGAATGTGTCGGCGGCGAGAAAAACAACAGGGCGTCATGAAGGGCTTTAAAGATGACGCTTTTATTTCACCTGATTTACTGTAACTACCTTCAGTGAACTGATATGCGTTGCTTTTCACACAGATATCTTTGTAGCTATGATCCTGTTAAAGATGAAGTGAAACAGGCAACTACTCAGCTCCATTATTTATTATTATAAAATGCAAACCAGATGTCAATACAGAGCTGATTGTTTTCACAGGGAAAATACCAAAAGCAAAAGTAAATGGACTGAAACCACGGCACAAATATATCTAAAGATACACAAATAGACTTCAGCAGGCCCTGTAGCTTATTAATAAACATGCTCATATGATGCATGTTAGTGAAATCCTTCCTTCTAAACAAATCTGCGCACGCACACGGTGCACAAATAACATCAACTGGATGCTGTTGAACATTTAAACGTTGGGATAATTCCGTTATCTGCAGCTCGTTTGCCCCGCCTGCACGTCCTGTTGAAATGCTTTAACAGGACAGCAGGGGGAGACAAATACCTGCGTGTTCCCGTGGATCACGCCATGTTTCCTGGACACCGCACAGAAAACAAACTGCTGTTGCATCATGCAGTTTCCTCCAGACCTCTGACGCTTTTTCTGCGCCGAACAAGAAGTTATGCAACAGTGTGAGAATGCGTGTGTTTTGGCCTCCGCTGATAAACCCACGCAGTGACTGCGTGAAGTCCTGCCAGTCCACAGGTAAGGGCGACGAGTTAAAGCATCACCACGACTGCACGGGTGCTAGTTGAAAACCCCCCTTTGATAATATATTTTTAATATATTAAAAAAAGGGCCTCAAACTCGCGGCCCGGGGCCACTTGTGGCCCACGTCACTCCTAGTTGTGGCCCGTGAAGAAATCTAATGCACAAAATACTTTTACTGTCAGGGAGGATTTATCTGTTGTTGAGTGTGATGTTAAAATTAAAAATGACTGAATATGAAGCCAACATGAGCAGAGAGCACGAACATGCCGAGGGATCAGCTGTGTTAGCTCAGTGAAAGAGCCACTAATGTGTACACGTATGTCTGCATTTGTATTTTATTAAATACGAACAAAATAAAAGCAGAAGTGATGCCACATGTGTGACCAGGAGGAGAGGACCAGTGTGTTTATTTGGTAGTTCAATGAAAGGCTTCAATTAGTTTACAGTTTTGTCTTCTTATACAATATTTGAAATTAAAAAAAAAACAAAACAAAAACACTACATTTCAGGAAATATTTGTGGGTTTTTTCTTGTTTGTTTGTTTTGTGGCCCTCCAATGAGACGACAGTGTCAGCAGGGGCCCACAGATCATTTAAGTTTGGTTTAAATCAGACAGAAATATCACTAATAGATTGTAGTGATCATCTTATTAAAAATAACTGAGCATTAGTTTCACCGGCCTGACATAAACAAGAGATCTAAAGACACGACGGTGAATCAGGAAGGACATTTTTCACCTTTTAAGATCAGTTTTGAATAAATAATCGTTCAATAATCACATTAGCCAGTTAATTCTAAACCAGTTGCTGTAACCCTCGTTACTGCAGCACACACAGCAGACTCCAGAGACCCTTTCATCACACAGAACATTTCTTGTGCAGTATCATCATTTTTGTCCTCTCTCCACGCACGTTTGACCAAGCCCAGCTGATAACATCTCTTGAGATATTTCCATCTGCACAGCTGACTAATCACGGGATGCTGCTGAAATCACACACTGACATTTTTCGTTAATTCAGCAGAAGGGATTTTGTGAGGATCATCAGGTGGCAGAGAGGCTGCAGCTCTTGCAGCAGGTTGCATCAGTCTGAAGAGCGCCTCCCCTCACCGCTGCTGCAAGCGCGATTAACGTGTCATGAAACCACAGTCATATTTCCACGTGTGAGAAATATTTACCAACAGCCAAGGGCATATGTGACACGGCTCACGTTATCAGGGAGTGTTACTGATACTGGGATTTACAGCAGATTCAGCTGAAACGGCCTCAGCCTTGGCCCGAAGATAAGCCTTCTAGTTAATGTGAAACTACTGAGAGTGCAGGGAAAGTCCAGGTCTGTCACTTTCCTGGTTTCAAGCAAAAAGAAAAAGAAAAAAGTGACCAGACGAGAATGTTGTTCAAAGCATTTTATTGCATTTTTTTTTTTTTTTTTTAGAAAAACAATACAAAATTCCAAAGCGACGGTCATAAACGTCGCCTTGGGTGAACTGCAATCATTCACATGGTACAGTAAAGTGCTTATTTTAAATCAAAATACCTTGTACTACAGGATGTATTCGTTTGAAGCCACTTCCCATGAACACAATGGTCTCAGGGGCGATTCAGACAGTGTTAAAAATCAGGTGTCGACCCAAAGCCTGGACTGGATCTGACTGGCACACTGTGCTCATGAGAAGGAACCATTTAAATGGTCTGATCTGCCTTAAATGCTTTCACCTGCAGGCTACATTCAGATTGTGGGGAGACTGATGGTACTATCCATTCGAATGACTGAATTTTAACGACGTCAGCGACAATATACAAAAAAAAAAAAAGAAAGAAAAAGAAAGAAATTAACAGAGGCTGAAGGATATCACTTTGTCCCCTTTCTCCCAATAAAAGGCAGTCGAAAGAAAACAAAAGCTACTGCCGTTCGACATAAAGTAGAAATGGTCATGACCCAGAAAACCCTTACTGTACTGGTCGGGATATTACAGAGTATGGCCACAGTGTGCGTTTTGAGTATCCACCCCCATTCAAAGACAGGGACAAACTCAGTTGTGTGAAGACCCCCCCCCCAGAAAAAGGCAGAATACTGATCTGTATATTTTCACCCCCCACAAAGATTGCCTTGATCATTAGCTTAATGCTTTGAGATTACCAATAAGTAAAGTAGTTTCCAAAATGAAGAAACAGCTGCATACACATATTCAAGTAAGTCTTATTATAAGACATAAACCCTCATAACTATGCATCTGTAGAAAGGTATTCTTAGAACTATTACAGTGTCCTATTAACAGAACAACGGGTCATCTGACACCATTTCCAGAGTACCGTCGCTGCAGTGCTGCCAACAGGACACGGAGACGATCAGAAGTTCCCCACTTATCTCTGCTAGGTCGTGGATCGTATGTTTCAATGTCATGACTTGAACCCTCTTTGGTGAAATGGCTACAGTGCTGAGAGACGTCATCGCCAGTCCATTACCTGTCAGTTTCAGAATGAGCTTTAACTTAATCTAATTAACGACAAAGAAAGATTATTGCCAACGCAGAGTAGGGAAAAATGAACATGTACCAGCCACTCATGGATAACTGCTCCAAATTCACCAGCAACTTCATACTAATGTTTTCTGTGTCTGAAATGTACCAGCCACTTTCATGTTTTACCACATTGGTGCTGGTGCCAATTCCCCACCCTGCTCACATATAAAAAAAAATAATATATATATATATATAACACTTAAAAACTTGCCTTCACTGGGCACGAACGCTCCAGGTCAACTTAAACTTTCTCCATTTTTACCTCATACACCACATACTCAACTTTAAAAACTCAAAAACAAAACAAACATTAAAAAAAAAACATCTGGTGTTTCACCTGAACTGAACAGCACCTGCATGGAAAAAAAATCTCCACAGAAAAAAAAAAAAAGCTTATTAACAGCCATACAAAAAAGAATAAAAATAAAATCAGTGTGGCACATTGACATGGAGTTTTCAAACTTGGAAAAAGAAAGTAAACAGCTAAATGTCTGAAGTTTTTTTTGTCTTTTTGTGGAATGTTTTTCCTTTTTGTGTTTATTTTATTTATTTTCCCCTCTGCCTCTAACATTTAAAGAAAATTTGCGACATCATTCTGGGAGGGGCGGCGTGTCGTTAGAGACAACGTTGAGACCCTGAAGGATGAGGAGGACGAAGATGATGGTCCGAATAAATCTGATCGACAAATGACAGTCTGGTCACATTGGGCAAAATGTGCTTTTCAACCCCTTCACAAGAGTTTAAACTTTTACTGCCAAAATATTTAAAGTTAAATCCATAAATTGATCTGTAGAAAAAAAAAAAAAAAAAAATACAAATTCTGGTTGTAGCAAGGGGACGTCAAATTCTTTACAATGAAAGTAACACTGACCCAGTTCACTTGCGTAGCCGTTTTAAGTACTGTATAATTAGCTTAACAAATAAGCCAGATATACACGCTATGAGCTTTGGCCCCTCCCCCCTCCCCGGCGGCCATCAAGCATGACCAAGTCAAATCAATTCACTAGTTTTAGATTCAATTTAGAAGAAAAGGAAAAACCGCATCAACCGATGCAGCGGCAAGTCGTAGCTGGTCAGGTACAAACAGCCGTTGCCCTTTGAGCACTAAGTGCACGGCGACCGAGCTGGATAAGTGCGCATCTCAGACATTTACACAGAGTCGACTGTAAAGAGCTCATCTTAAACGGAGGGGAACAAAAAAACAAAAAAAGACTTTGAAGAGTCTCCAGCCAACGGCCCGCGCCTCAGGCACGGACAGCACCGGCTTACAGCCCTTCCAACCCTTATTACACTGAATCCTTTCAAGACAGGAACAGCCTTCATCTCGGCATATTGCATAAGCTTGTACGTATGTGCAGATGGGCCGTTCATGCATATACATACAGGCAAAAAACATTCCAGATAACTTAATTCACAGTGGATCCAGTTGTAACGTGGGAGCAGCACAACAGGTTGTCCTTTGGTGTCTGAGCTTAGTTTCGAAGATCTATGTTCGGATTTCTTCTGAACTGAGTTGCATGAGGAAAAAAAAAACCAACCAAAAACCAACATAACTTAGAAAATACTTTGCTGTCTAACAAGTCATTAACTGGCCCTCCTCCCCAACCTGGAAGTGCACATAGCTGTGTTTGCTATATGCAGGCCCTGTGCTGATGTGCTTCAGAAGTGCTGGAGAAGGGCAGAAGGCATTTAGAGGAAGGGCTGCAGGCAGCATCTCCCTTTACAGCTGGCAAGAGAACCTGAATAGCAGAGGGACCGAGGCCAGAGAGGGGCCAGAACTGAGGAGGAAGAGTCTCAGGGCAGTCGTGGAACAGGACTCGAATCATAACGGAAGGTCGGGAAAGTTCAGGCACAGTCTCCCACGATGACGAGGGGGGCCAAGAGCTGACGAAGCTCGGCGGCGGAGACGGGCCCGCCTTTCGGCTGGCTGCTTCGCTGCCTGCGCTTGGCCAGCTTGGAGTTGGAAGGAGGAGAGAGGCGCATGGACGAGCCAGAAGCGGTAACAAAAAATTGGACTTCCTGCTGCTGCTGCTCTTCCATGCCATCCTGTTCAGCCAGCTGCCGGTTCACAGCCATGGCCTTATCTGCAAAAACTGTGAGATCCCTGGCACTGCTGGTCCTGATGAGGAAAAGGGGGAAAGAGATTAAACTGTGATCAAAGCAGGTAAAGAGTTGGAAATGTTTATTGTCAGAGTGTCTCGCTCTTAATTTCTCACCTCTGATGTAAGATGGATGTTGGCAAAGTGTCAGATGCACCCTGAAAAATCAAAGTCATGTTATTGGTTTTGTTTGATTTGAACAACTTTACTGTGATTTGCCTAAAATGCAAAAAAAAAAAGTGGCATAGTAGTGGATTCAGACTCACCCCCAGCACCCAGGGGTGCTGCAGCACCTGACTGGCACTCAGACGGCTTTTGGCATCCCGGACCAGAAGTTTGGATATCAGGTCTTTGGCACTTGAGGAGATGTGAGCCCAGTCTTTTTCCGGAAACTCATATTTTCCTTCCTGGATGCTCTCAAATAAAGTGTTCTGTAAACAGATACGAAACATTTGCAAATGTTACTTTGCTCTGAACTCACAAAGATAACGTTAGACAAACAAAACTCACGGGAATGAATTCATCAGTCTTACCTGGCAGGTGTGGCAGGGTTCACCTAATTCCCAGCCACAGCCGCCACCACAGCGGCCTACGAATGGAGGATAGCCACTTAGCATGATGTACAGAATGACTCCAAGACTCCACAGGTCACAGCGCTTGTCGTAAATTGTAGCTTCTTCGCTGAAGGCCTCGACTACCTCAGGTGCCATGTACTCTGCTGAGCCGCACTAAAAGAAGAACAAGAAAGCCAGTGCGTTAGCCCCAAGGGACGAAAAACACAAAGCGCAGCATGAAAGAGTTAAACCGGAGGAAAAAGAGAAGCTTTGCTTGGCTGCTGCCACATTCTTTCACTCAGCTGACACCTCGTGGCTCCGAGTGTGAAAGCTAAGGCCCCACTCTTAGCTTGTGGGGTGGGGGCAGTCGCATGATTATCTGCAGTAATGGGTTCACTTAAAGTCTACAAAACTGCTCGTCTTGGTCCGTTGAACATTTCTTAGTTGGAACGTGTTATGAGGCAGGTTTGTGTGGGTAGACGGCGAGTGGTGAGTCACTGCTTTGATCACGCAGCTGTACACAGCCCAGGCAGACTTTGTTGAGGGCAAGGACAGACTCAGCTCTACCAGCATGTTGTTATGTAGCTAGGAGAGAAATTAGGCCAAACCCCGAGCATGGAAAAGAGGATTGGCTGCCCTGCATAACCAGAGACTGGGCTGAGCCCTGGTTAGTTACATAACTTGAGTACACAAACAGCGAGTACTGTTTTAATAGTTTTAGTTGGAGGGAAAAAGCAGGTCGTTGGTTCAGCAGGACAAAGATCAGGTTCATTTCTGAGACGCTTTAGCCCTTTTGTCACGAAGTCCTCCCACATATCCTTCATTCCATCTGTGGAGGCGCATGTTTACATTGAGCAGGCCTCCATTGTGTCCCAGTAACATAAACCAGCTGTCTGCTAACTCCACCTCCAGTTTTATGTAATGAAGTTTGCTGCACAGGAATCTCATTTCAGACAAAGACGCTTCTGTCACAGAAAATCCCAACCCCCATGTTTCCGCCATCATCGAGTCTGGGGCAACTGCTTACACAGACAATCCTCCAGGATTCAAGTCAAATGCAGCTGCCGCACACACCCACACACACACACACACACAAACACACACACTCTTTTTTGCCAACCAAGGTACTTTGAAACTGAAGACTAATGCAATAGTTGTGTTATCATAAACAGCTATCAAGGCTAATCGTGTTTAAAAGCTGCTTTACCACCCTTAATCACAAACAAGTCAGGACATAGATAGCCAGTCTATGACTACCTGCAGCTGATAAGGGCTAAAACAGGGCAGTCAAATAACAGTAATCGTGGCTCTTTGGCACAGACTTGAACATAAACTTGCATTTGTTCTTCCGGTGCTGTTGCACACCTTGCGAACTTGCAGTCACATCCTCTTCAAACCTTCCAGTAAGCTGCAGAGAGCTGTTAATCAGCTGCTGTTACCACAGGATTTGTCGGTATTGCAACCTGGGGCTTTCCTACGACCATGTGACTAGTCACACCATACCCACAGCGCCGATGACACACCTCTGGTGTTTGTAAATGAAAGGATTACTAGGAGAGGCTTACAGGAAGAAGACATGTCCTGTTCTCAAGAAACTGCACCTACCTTTATGACAGGTACAAACAAGCAGTTTCCTCAATTAAACAGTCTAAACTGCTTGTGTGCAGTGTTACAGTTTCCAGCTGCTACATATAAGCCTCGGCATTCAAACAGCCAGAATTACATCTCACTGAGCACATAGGTGGGCAATCACTCATGCAGAATTCCTAGTAAACTAAAATTAGCCTTTTTCCTAGAAGGGTCTATCTCGGCTCAATCGAGTCCCTATTTTCCCAGTTTACACCCAGTATAGCACCACTACATTTACAGTAAACCTGTAAATCATTCAATGTATTTGAGAACCAGAGAACTGTGCTTCAAATGCAAAAGTGCATATTGTGCAACAGCAGAGAAGTGGTTACAGGGGGCCCAGAGAGAGTACCAGTCGTGAGATGAAAATCATAACATTGTTCCTGTGATCAAGCAAGGAAAACAAGCCAGAGCGCATGAGCGGGCAGAGTTCGCACCTCCCAGTTATCCTCCCCCTCCCACTGGGCTATCCAATCACATCTCAGTTGCCATGTGTGGGGGGAGAGAGACTAAAATTTCTAGAACAAGCCTTATGCACAGCTATTGTATGAAGTACATAAAGAAAGCGCAGACCAGCACAAGAGTGGTTGGGGCCACTGGGCGGAGACTGAGCTGAAAGAAGAGGGTGTATGTTTTTTCTTCCTCTCACCACACAGAGAGAAAGGAGAAATAAGCAAACGCTTGTGGGGGTTTTTTCACTGCGACTCCTTCATATCACAGGACACAGCCTTGTAAAAGTTATCATGTACCCTCCAGTGTTACATCCCAGGGCTATCACATCACGTTCTGTACTCCAGAGGCTTTTCTCCCTTTGAACGAACACTTTAATATATTACTGGATCAACTTAACCTGATTTTAGACTAAAGCACATGACACCTCTTGGCCCCAAACCATATCCCCTTCAACAAGTCCGGGGATGGGCCCTCCATCCATTATTTCTGTGCGAGGAAGATGAAGTTACCAAAGCCGAAAGCCCCCACCCACCAAACCACATTCCTGAGGGCTGAGCTGCTATCCCTCACCTGCTCTGCTCCATCTATTCAGCACACTAGATAACCAGCAGACAGAGCAAGTGTTGACACAAGTAGAAAGCTTGCCAGTTCAACTTTACCACTCCTCTCTGAGGTTGAGGGCTTCCTGCTGTTCTGGACGCTGATCAGCGGCGTCGCTTTGTGTTGTGACGACAGCCACAAAGTTAAACAATCATAACCCCCAGACTCAAGCTCATGACCCCTCAGTGTTTGCTATTGATTAGACATCAACGGACATCAACAGATATGCTTCCAAATGTTACACAGTGAAGTACCGGCACGATAAGAGGAACATAAAACTTGAGCACATCCAGGAAACAACCCATGTCATTTCAGAGAAACTGCCCAGCAGTAAACTGGTGTAAACATCAGTTAACCCCACGGAGGACTGGCCAATGTTCAGCCAGGTAAGACTTGATAAACACATTTACAACCGCTTTTATCCACAGCAAGAAAACAAATCACTATGTCACGGTGTAACTGATTAATCTGCTCCTGGATCGGAGATTTAAAAAACATTTTTTTGGATGAGTAACTTACAGGAGTGAGGAGCTCAGGGGTGGAGATGGGTGAGCTGTCACTGTTCAGCTTGATCCCACTGCCTAAGTCAAAGTCACAGATCTTGACCGGGCATATCTGAGAAAAAGAGCAGATTTTAACAAAAGGCCAGCAGCAGCTTTACCGACACGTCAGCTGATCTCTGAAACACGTTTAGGCATAAATATCTCTGCAGTAAACTCACCTTGTGTGCACTCTCACAGAGAATGTTTTCAGGTTTCAGGTCTCTATGTGCCATTCCTAAAAACAAAAAGATGCCTGTTATATCTATATTTAATTTGAAACTGAGCAGTAATACTGCTTGCCATTTTGTACAAATGATCTTACCCTTGTTATGAAGGAAATCTAGAGCACTGGCAATGTCCTGCACCACGAGACAGGCCTCCTGCTCGCTGAAGTGCTGTCTCTTGTGAATGTGTTCCAAGATTGACCCTGGGAGGGAAATGAGAGTCCATTAGCTCCATTTAAAAGCTAAATGCTTTCAAACACTCACCAAAGCAGCAGAATTTCTTTGTAAACTAGCAGCTGTAATTTACTAACCTCCTCTGAGCTTCTCAAACACCAGGTAGAATTTGTCTTCCTCTTCAAAAAACTCCACCAGCTCCAGGATGTTTCTGCAGAAAACAAAAAGGAGTCATTTGAGGTCTGCAGTGTGATGATGAATAAAGGGCTTTGTGACTGCCTCCATACGACTGTCAAGTAGTTTTGTCAGAACAGCAGAAAGTTACCTATGGCCCTGGCACTGGTAGAGCATCTCAACCTCACGGAAGACACGACTGCGGCTGTGACCCGGCCTTTTCTCGATTATCTGCAACAGAAAAGCACCAAAGCTGAGCCCACTTTGTCCAGAAATAGCCCATTTGTGTTTTTATACAGAAAAGGATGGAGGACCATTCTTAAAGTGCTTAGTATACATATTTGTGGGCATGGCAGCCACTCTCACTGCACCACAAACCCCACTTGCGGCTGTTTAATGGAAAGCAGACGGTATAGAGCTCACTATACAGTCCATATGCAGTCCCTATAATGAGCTTCCTTCCCAACGTTTTCCTGCTTGCCAACCTTTATCCTACCCTGTGACACACTTGCAGAGATAGTTTAACCTACTTTCAGCACTGCCCGGCATACCAGAGACAGAGCTGAATGAAAATAACAGCTCCCAGTCTCTATGTTTAACCTTTATGCACAACCCATATGTAAATCTTAAGGAGCCATAAGTGTTCCCTTCAAAACATCCCATGACCTAATCCAAAATGTTTACAATTATCAAAACTGCTCTAAAAATAACCGAGCTGCAGTGAGGGCCACCAGCTGCATAATGCTGTGCCAAGAGAGACAGAAAGATAGACTGCTGACACCAAAGCAAAAAGCCTGAATTTTCCAGCTCTGGTCTGTTATTGTGTGTTTGGGAGGCTGTGCATGCTTCTCTTCCTGGTAGCTGGATTACAGCTGCTATTGAAGCCCACTGGGGCCAGAGCTGCAGTATGTGTCTAGGATTAATACACAGACAAGAGGCCTGTGAGCAGTCCAAAGCCTGTGTACTGTTCCAGTCTGAGTCAGCAGGACAACAATCAGCTCACCCTCTCCTGCCACAGCAGAACTCCCACCCTGGTAGATGTTTCCATACAGAAACTATAAGGTTGAAGAATGCATTGCAATCTCGAATGGGAGGACACTATTTTTAAAGTGGTAGATTTAAGGTCGCTTATCCAAATTGCAGCTCGTGAAACATCAGCCTGCTGAAAAGCGAGACCTCACTGCAGGTTCTAACATCAACCCAGGCTTGTGAAATAATAGCTTTAAACAGGACTTGTTTGGGAGCCTTCAGACACACGCTGCTCGGCCCTCTGTGCGTCTGTGGGTGCCTGAAGCTTTTGTTGCGTTTGCAACAGAGCCCGCACAGGCGGTTCACCCCCCTACTCCCCCTGTGTCTAGAGAGGGGGAGGGGAGAGACGGGACATCTGGCAGGAGTAGTCTGAGTCCCCCTCGACTCCCAGCAGACTGTCCTACCTCCTCCCCCAGGACTGCATAGTCCCAAGGGATCCATAACAAAACACTCTGGGACAAACTAACTGATCAGTCACATGAGGATCTGTGTACAGCACCTCTGAAATATTAATTAGGAAAAAAATAAATAAGATATGGACACTTGCACTAAAGAAGCAGCCTTTAACTCAGACTTGTTCGATACATGAACAAAATCTGGGGAATAACTGTAATTATGTTGATGTCCAACAAGCAATGGGATTTCAAAAGAAAAAAAAGTGGATTATTTAAATTTTTGCACACTTCAGCAAAAAAATAAACAAATACATAAAAATTTCACAATGTTTTGCTCCTAAAACAAGGAAATGACTTTGTAATAAAAAAGGAAGTCCCCGAGAGTTGAACATGTGCATACAAGTCCTCACGCCATTCAAAAAGGAAATCGAAAAAGTAACTGTACAGAGTGAGAACAAAGCAGTGTAAACACACCAGGTCACAACCCTCACCCATCACCCCTCCTTCCTTTCTGTGGGTTTTGTTTTGGCACAGCTAGCAGCACACAATGTTCTCTGTGCAAGCTGTAAAGAAAGGGGGAAGGTATATCATTTCCAGCTCTCTGATTGGCTGACGAGCTAGAAAACGAGTCAGGGGGCGTGTCTACTAGCAGCTAGTTTTTACACAAAAAGTGCATCACTAGCACAACAGAGGAAAGTCTGCAGAAAACCACTACAGAGAGCTGAAGTGAGAGAAAGGATGAAGAGGCATCCTGTCCCAGACCAAAACTTTCCTCAAAATTTCTCAAGAAAAAGTCGTGAAAAGGAAGCACAATAGAAACACTGATGCAATAGTATATTAAATTCCTCTCATGGCTCAGAGCCTCTTCACACAAAGGAATTTCATTACATAATCCAACCCTCTAACTGTAAGTGTAAAGCAGCCAAACAGAGTCCTAGCATCTCCTGTAGGAATGTTTCATTGACAACAATACTTTGAAGCACACTGTATCCACTGTATGCGTGGCAGTGTCTTACCTTTACAGCATACTCTTTATTGGTGATGAGGTTGATGCATGTTTGCACTCTGGCATAAGCGCCTTCTCCCAAGACCTCTTCCTGCAGTCTGTAGACATCTGTGGCAAAAACGGCAAGTTAGCAAAACAATTACATGAAGGAGAGCAGCTTATACAGCTGTTTTTATAACAACTAGGAATGAAAGCTTTTACCCTCGAATCTTCCAGAGAAACTGTCAGTTGCCCGGCAACGCTTTTTCTTCTTGTTTCTCTTCTTGGCATCGGGGATGTCAATAGGCTGACTGGAAGGCATGTCTGTCAAAACAAGAGTGCCTACATTACCATCAGCTATTGATAGAGGAATGCAAACAAATCCCAAATACTGAAAGAGAAACTAGGGGGAGGTTTTAGTTATGTGAATTATACTGAACTTGGACAACGTTACCGTTTTAAAAAACAGCCAAGTCATAAAACTCACCATGTCTGGGGGAGGAGTCAAAATTAAATGATGAATCGATAAGATGGGATCCATTTTTAGTGAAGTCCTCTGATTCAAAGGGATTTTGCCCCTATGGAGTAATAACATGTTTGTTATGATGTGCAATCGCAGTGAACCATTCAAGATGAGAGCATCTATTGTCAGTCATAACACCTACTGTGACTATAAAGCCAAACTAGACTGAGAGGCTGACACATTTTGAATAATCGCTCATATCTGTTACACCAACACAAGAACGTCCCAAGGCCATAAGGATCTTTCTTGGTCATCTTTCAGCTATTAGCTGTGGCATACTCGAGCCATAGATTCATCAGCTGCATGTGCCCGTGTCAGCAGGAAGTATACCATGTTTGTCAGCCAGAAGATGCGTTTATCTATAGCTAGGTGAAGTCCCTTCTTATATATGTTGCCAAACGTGCTCTGATTACAATCTCCCAAAAGGAGTGACAGGAGCTCGAGCTATCCCTGGATAGAGTTCCAGCTCACCTTGAAGGAGCGGTGGAATCCAGTGACCTCGGCGATCTTATTTTGCACCATTTTGCTTCGATTTGGTGTGTGGGGGGGGTTCCGATCAGGATATGCGGCGGCAGTGGTTTTTGAATCAATTTGCACTTCTCCGAAACAAACAAAATCGTTTCAGAGAGAGACGCAAGTGATCACACTGCGCTAGCTGGTCAGCTTGGTGCGGCGCTTTAAACGGGAGCCCTGTGGACGACACAATTTGAGACCCCAGCGTTACAATCCAGTGTAAAAAACACACAACACCTAAACTCTTCGTGTTTTCCAGATTGTGGACGATTAACTAAACGCTTACAGCAAACAGCAGGCTGGCTCATCTCTGTCGCGTGCGCATACAAACAGAGCGCGAGAGCGCAACAGCTAGCGTTCAACGTCACTCCCATTTAGCTCGCCGTTAGGTTAGTTACAGACAGTTAAGCACGAGGACAGATCATTAAAATCATAGCAGTTTGGCTAATGAGTAAATATATCTAGAGGCCATGGTTAAAACGGTGAAACAGCTACAGGAAGGCTACCAACACACACAAAAACACATCTCCAGTCAAAATGTAACCCGCAAGTGCAAACCGGTTGACAGTTACATCAGCATTAACTTTAACGTCAGACAACAAAGATTAGCCAGTGAGCGTTAATACTGCATAGCGGCTCCAAAACAGCCATTTAGCTTTTAAATGGCGAAACAAAGCCGCAGCAGCTTGTTTTTTCTCCTTACTTACCCCGTTGTTAATTTTTATAGCTCCAGTGTTAGCGTCGTTGCTTGACC